TCCAAAGGATGATTCAGGAGAAAGCAATACATGTATTTTTAAAATAGGTATAAATTGTTTTAATTACTGTTTTAGATGAGTGATTAGCATTTTATATACTTAGATTTAAGAATTGGTTCGTTCTCATTTACAGGGGGAAAAAAGCTAAAAGTTGTGGTTTACTTTATGGTCCTTTGTATAATTTATTGAAAATCACAGCATCAAATCAGGTATAAATCAAAGTATGATTTGCTGGATAGTGTATTAGAAACAATCCTTTAATATTTATAGTGTAGCTTTTTACCCCAGCAGTTACAAAGCACTTTACCAATTTTACTCACTCAATAGCTGCAGCTATTTCTGAGATGGACCATAACATCTGCTTAATGGTGCACAACATTACCCAACGGTTTAGGACAGGAAGTGAAGAAAATATTGCTGTATTCTGTTGGTTGACAACATATGTTTAGATTGTTCAGTTGTAAGCAAAAATGTGCATTCTAGATGTTTTAGGAAATGTGATACTGCCACTGTTTATGACATCATGTTCCCAGCAACCCTAGTGGGTTTACAATACATATACAAAACAGGCCTGTGTGTCAGGATATCTGGCTCTACTCTTCATTCACGTGCTGATCTTGGGCAAGTCATATAACCTCCTTAAGGGGGGAGAGGAAGGAAATCCAAACTTGAGGAGCCTTCCTCAGGCACATTTGCAAATTGCGTCTTGCATCTATTGGTTTTTGAATCACAACCAGGTCTATACTAGAAGAGGTTTGCCATTATAGGTACAAGAGTATGGCTAATGTAGGCATAGCTCAGACTAGCAAAGATGTCCTTTTGTTGATATAGCTTGTGCCAGTTTCCATGCAAAATAAGCTATACTAATACAAGCAGTTTTAAGCTGGTATGTCTGTGCCTATAGTAGGACTTTTGCTGGTATAGAAATGGTGCACTAAGAAAATCATACCCTAACTGACATTACTATACCAGCAAATTCTTTGAGGACCTTCCCACCACCAACCTCAGCCTGGTCCAGTCCACACAAGAGATCCACTTCCTGAACACTACAGTGCTAATAAACAATGGCCACATAAACACCACCCTATACCGGAAACCTACTGACCGCTATTCCTACCTGCATGCCTCCAGCTTTCACCCTGACCACACCACACGATCCATCGTCTACAGCCAAGCTCTGCGATACAACCGCATTTGCTCCAACCCCTCAGACAGAGACAAACACCTACAAGATCTCTGTCAAGCTTTCTTACAACTACACTACCCACCTGCAGAAGTAAAGAAACAGATTGATAGAGCCAGAAGATGATAAAGCCAGAAGAGTTCCCAGAAGTTACCTACTACAGGACAGGCCTAACAAAGAAAATAACAGAACGCCACTAGCGGTCACCTTCAGCCCCCAACTAAAACCCCTCCAACGCATTATTAAGGATCTACAACCGATCCTGAAGGATGACCCAACACTCTCACAAATCTTGGGAGACAGGCCAGTCCTTGCCTACAGACAGCCCCGCAACCTGAAGCAAATACTCACCAACAACCACATACCACACAACAGAACCACTAACCCAGGAACTTATCCTTGCAACAAAGCCCGTTGCCAATTGTGCCTACATATCTATTCAGGGGACACCATCACAGGGCCTAATAACATCAGCCACACTATCAGAGGCTCTTTCACCTGCACATCCACCAATGTGATATATGCCATCATGTGCCAGCAATGCCCCTCTGCCATGTACATTGGTCAAACTGGACAGTCTCTACGTAAAAGAATAAATGGACACAAATCAGATGTCAAGAATTATAACATTCATAAACCAGTCGGAGAACACTTCAATCTCTCTGGTCACGCAATCACAGACATGAAGGTCGCTATCTTAAAACAAAAAAACTTCAAATCCAGACTCCAGCGAGAAACTGCTGAATTGGAATTCATTTGCAAATTGGATACTATTAATTTAGGCTTAAATAGAGACTGGGAGTGGCTAAGTCATTATGCAAGGTAGCCTGTTTCCTCTTGTTTTTTCCTACCCCCCCCCCACCCACCCAGATGTTCTGGTTTAACTTGGATTTAAACTTGGAGAGTGGTCAGTTTAGATGAGCTATTACCAGCAGGAGAGTGAGTTTGTGTGTGTATGGGGGTGGGGGGGATGTGAGAAAACCTGGATCTATGCAGGAAATAGCCCGACTTGATTATGTAAAGAGTTGTCACTTTGGATGGGCTAGCACCAGCAGGAGAGTGAATTTGTGTGGGGGGGTGGAGGGTGAGAAAACCTGGATTTGTGCTGGAAATGGCCCACCTGATGATCACTTTAGATAAGATATTACCAGCAGGACAGTGGGGTGGGAGGAGGTATTGTTTCATATTCTCTGTGTATATATAAAGTCTGCTGCAGTTTCCATGGTATACATCTGATGAAGTGAGCTGTAGCTCACGAAAGCTCATGCTCAAATAAATTGGTTAGTCTCTAAGGTGCCACAAGTACTCCTTTTCTTTTTGCGAATACAGACTAACACGGCTGTTACTCTGAAATTTGAGGACCTTGTATACCCAAGTGAAATGTACTAGAATAGCTATGCCAGTCAAATTTAGGCCTTGTCCACACCACAAACGCTTTGCTGGTATAGCTATACTGGCAGAACCCCCTGGGCGTAGACACAATTTACACTACCCAAAGCAGTTTTTCTGTCAGCATAAGGCCACCACCATCCTGAACAACATTACCTATGCCACGAGAGGCACTCTTCTGTCAACGTAGTTGCATCCATGTGGTAGTGGGGAAGGGAAGAGGTTGCCCTTTGCTAGCTTAGCTATGTCTGCTAGAGAGTGTTTTTACATGGCTGTTATAATACTAAATAAACCACATCAGGATGGGCAATAGTAGAACATTTGGGACACACCCTGGTTGTATTGTGAGGCACAAAGCCAAAGGCTGAATGTCTCTGACTACCTGTGAAATGTGCAAATAGCTCAGTAATGCACACCCTATCAGGGTATGCTTAAAAGCTACAAAGACAAGCTAAAGCATCAAAAGTACCTCATGAATCTTCACTGGGAAAATAAGTGAGATTCTGCAAGGCCTGAAGGTAGTGGAACTGTATATGAATGATCTTTTAGTTTATAGGAAATCTGAGGAAAAAGTTCTGAAGGCAACTAGGCTACTGGATGTAAATTAAATGGAGCAAAATGTATTCTATGACAAACCTAACTAGTTGTTACTGTAGGATATATGTGCCTGATGAATAGAGGTAAGGACAGATCCAGAAGAATATCAGAGCTAGAGCTGAAATGTTACTACTTACGCATGTATCAGACTGAGGTGGGTCTATGATAAAATTTTAGAGAAAGTTCGGACCTGACCTGTCGTCATAAAGCCAACCTCTTTATAAACGGTTTAAAATAGATTCTGTGTGGCTATGGGACACAGTGAAGAGGAAATAACTAGAAACAGATAATTTGTGTCATTATGGATCTCAGCATCTCACTGCCATTCATTTCTATCTGTCTAGATTCCTATAGTGGCACCAGTCATCATAGCATCTCAGCTCTAAGCACACTATGCTAGGAAACTGCCATTAAAAATGGCTTCATCTAAGAAATGTTTTGCTCTGAGTGTTGAATCACACAGTTTTTGAACAGTCTTGAGAATTTTTTTTAAAGTAATAATTTGTCTCCATTAGAACCAAAATGCTGCTAGAGGAAACAATTTAGAAACCAGTTTTTAAAAAACTGTTTCCTAGCATTATAGGAACTTCTTTGAATTGCAACCTTGAATGAAACATAGAATGTTGATGGAAAGGAAGTTTCAAAATCCATTTTAATATAAAATATCTGTTGCATGAAATAAATGTAAAGACACAAACTTTAACTTGCCACCTCTATACCAAACTGTGTTAGGTAGAATGGTTCAGGCCCCCTGTTCATAATATGACATCCATACTGGGGGCTTGGGTTACATCCTAGTTTCCCCCTGTCCCTCCCCACATAAATAAAGCATGGGTTTATATTGGCAATTTTTAAAAAATAGGTCAACTAAATTACAACTGTCAGGGCAACCAGTTAAAACAGTTTTCTTCTCCTCTGTTAAAGCATGGTTTAACCCCCAGATTGAAGAATGGATGAGACCTTAACTGTGACTTCAGATCATGTTCCAGCTGGAGCCTTCAGCGTTGTTTGAAGATATATCTATAGTCCCCTCATTACAATAAGGAATTAACTCTGTTGGATTAATTAACTCTGCAGGGTTACACTTGTACACTTGTACAAGTACACTTGTGTTTGTAGTGCAGATGGACTCCATCTCCAAGGGGCCAGGGAGGCTCTCTCGCTAATATCTGCCCAAAGAGACTGCAACAGTTAAAGGGAAGAGGGGGGAGTTGGGGTCTCTTGTGAGAAGCCTTATCAGGAAGATGGAGAGCTGGTGCCACCTCACTCCTTTAGGGGGAATTAAGAGATTTCCTCTAAAGAGTTGTGGGACCCTAAGTAAGCCAGGGCTCTTCTTTCCCTAGCAGGACTTGGCATGCTCCATCCTCCCCCAAGTTGTGGGGATCGCATGGGGAACAGCCCTTCCCAGGGGATCCCGCAGGGCAGGGCTCTTCTCCCCACAGAGACACAGGAGACGAGGGTTCTTCCCCCCCGCCCCGTGGGGCAGGGGTCCTCCCACAGGTCAAAGCTCGCTCTACCCGCCCGGGTGTGTCTCACAGAGCTGAGAAGCGGGGGTGGGAGATCGAATTTCCTCTTCAGGATACCAAATATGGTAACAATGGGAAAACGGCACCGCTTGGCTTTGTTATTCGGACATTGGGCCGACGCTGCAATCGGGGCTGGTATAGCAGACCGGGGGAGTCTGTGCCCTTCTGCGGGTCCCGTAGGGGCTCGGCGGGCCGATCTCTCTTTACAGCCGACCAGGCGGCACCTTTGCTCCGCCTAATAAGGCCACTAGTGCCTTCAAGTGTTGCAATCTGAACCAACCCCGCCGCTGGGGACTCTGAATGAAGAGAGCCCGGCAGACCTCCCCTGTCTCACCCCCGAGAGCCTCTCCTCGCATAGCTGAGACTCCAGGACGGCTTGCGGAGGCTGGCGCTCGGAAGGGAGGAGAAGGGGGCGGGGCTCGGGCTGCCCCGGGCACCCTGCTCATGAATAATGCCGCTCCCCAACTTTTTGCACCGCCTTATTCTCAGGCTTGAGAATTTTTCACAAAGTTTGTTTGGGACAGTCCGGGACTGGGAGCAGCCGCGGCGCAGCCCCCGTAGCGCAAAGCGCCTTGTGCGTCAGGCTTAGGCAGCCTGGATTGTGAGGATGTGAGGACAGAATCACCCCCAGCCTTCCAATTCGCCCTTGCAACGCGCTGCCAGCGCAGAAGAAGCAAAGTCCTGATCTTGCCCGCCTCTGCAGCTGGGGGAGGAGGAGGCGGAGAGCCAGCGACTCCGGCCCGGATCCGGGCACTGGAGGTAAATAGAACGTTCCCCGGGTCCCCACGTTCGGATTCGGAACGCCTCAGACCTCCCCCCTCCCCCGCGTGCCTTGCTCCCCGCTGGAATCCGGACAGCAGCCAGCTCTCGCCCGGTGACAGCCGCGAGAACTCTTCCTTCGCCCTTTAAAGGAGCCCCCTCCTCCTCCCAGGGAATTGCAGCAAGTAGCCAAAGTTTCAGAGAAAGTTGCATAACTTTGCGTGGGGTTTGACTCGGATGCATTCGATCGTGCGAGATACAGATTCGTGTTTGAGGGGACTGGCTCGGACCCCTTGCTTGGTCTGCTGCTGGGTGTCCGGACGCCGGGCACTTGAGGGAGGGGTGCAGTGACGTTTTGTGGGGGGCTGGATTGAAGTGCCTTTATCTGCTGCTGATCGCCCAGGGCCTTGTAGGATACAGGCATTTGGGGGGCACTACCTGCACCCCTCATTCGCTGATTGTCCTTCCCCTGGAGGATATAGACTCGTTTGTGCGGGTGCTGCCTGGGACCACCTCCCGGTCGCTGCTGACTGCCCACCCCTTGACGGGGTACAGACTCGTTTTTAGGGGAGACCTGCCCTGGATCCCTGATCCGCTGCTGATTCTTTGCCTCCCGTGGGGAAGTTTGTTGCATTGAGCTCGTGCTGCGGGGCAGAAGATGAACCCTACTCCCGTCCCTCCGCCGCCGGGGCAGCAAGTGATCCATGTCACCCAGGACCTGGACACGGAGCTCGAGGCGCTCTTCAACTCGGTCATGAACCCCAAGCCCAGCTCCTGGAGGAAGAAGATCCTGCCCGAGTCCTTCTTCAAGGAGCCCGATTCGGGCTCGCACTCCCGCCAGTCCAGCACTGACTCGGGCAGCCACCCGCCCCGGCTGGCAGCCGCTGGTGCCCAGCATGTCCGCTCGCACTCCTCGCCCGCCTCCCTGCTAGGCGCCGGAGCCGGGGCCACCCCCAGCCCGGCTCAGCAGCACGCTCACCTCCGCCAGCAGTCCTACGACGTGACCGACGAGCTGCCGCTGCCGCCCGGCTGGGAGATGGCCCTCACCCACACGGGCCAGAGATACTTCCTCAAGTAAGTGGGGCCCAGGGTGCCCTGGAGACCCGGGCGGGGCGAAGGGGGCTGGGGGCAGCTGTAAGGACAGGGCTGAAAGAGACCTTGAGCCCGCTGTTCGTTGGGTGTGGGTGGGGAGAGGAGGTTAAAGGGGCCTTGCACCGGCCCTGGGGGGAGGGGGTCCTTGGGCCTGCTATGTGTGTGTGGAGGAGTGTAAAAGGGACCTTAAGCTGGCTGTGTAAGGGGGTGTGTAAAAGGGATCATGGGCTGGCTGGGGAGGGGAGGACGGACAGGTGGATGTAACAGGGACTTGGGCCAGGGGCAAATGGGGGCTTTTACTAAATTCCGTATAGGGAATATTGATGATGGGGGCAAAGGAGACTCTTCGCACTGGGGCAGGGGGTGGGGATAAAGTTGCTGGCCTGGGGTTGCTGGCTGTTTAAAATGAAGTTAGTCATTGCCATATTGCTCTATGTTGACACATTTCAGAGTAACAGCCGTGTTAGTCTGTATTCGCAAAAAGAAAAGGAGGACTTGTGGCACCTTAGAGACTAACCAATTTATTTGAGCATAAGCTTTCCTGAGCTACAGCTCACTTCATCGGATGCATACTGTGGAAAGTGTAGAAGATCTTTTTATACACATAAAGCATGAAAAAATACCTCCCCCCACCCCACTCTCCTGCTGGTAATAGCTTATCTAAAGTGATCACTCTCCTTACAATGTGTATGATAATCAAGTTGGGCCATTTCCAGCACAAATCCAGGGATTAACAAGAAGCGGGGGGGGGGGGGGGGGGTAGGAAAAAACAAGGGGAAATAGGCTACCTTGCATAATGACCCAGCCACTCCCAGTCTCTATTCAAGCCCAAGTTAATTGCATCCAATCTGCAAATGAATTCCAATTCAACAGTCTCTCCCTGGAGTCTGGATTTGAAGTTTTTTTGTTGTAATATCGCAACTTTCATGTCTGTAATCGCATGACCAGAGAGATTGAAGTTTTCTCCGACTGGTTTTTGAATGTAATAATTCTTGACATCTGATTTGTGTCTATTTATTCTTTTACGTAGAGACTGTCCAGTTTGACCAATGTACATGGCAGAGGGGCATTGCTGGCACACGATGGCATATATCACATTGGTGGATGTGCAGGTGAACGAGCCTCTGATAGTGTAGCTGATGTTATTAGGCCCTGTGATGGTGTCCCCTGAATAGATATGTGGGCACAGTTGGCAACGGGCTTTGTTGCAAGGATAGGTTACTGGGTTAGTGGCTCCGCTGTGTGGCACGTGGCTGCCGGTGAGCACTTGCCTCAGGTTGGGGGGCTGTCTGCAGGCAAGGACTGGCCTGTCTCCCAAGATCTGTGAGAGTGTTGGGTCATCCTTCAGGATAGGTTGTAGATCCTTAATAATGCGTTGGAGGGGTTTTAGTTGGGGGCTGAAGGCGACGGCTAGTGGCGTTATATTATTTTCTTTGTTGGGCCTGTCCTGTAGTAGGTGACTTCTGGGAACTCTTCTGGCTCTATCAATCTGTTTCTTCACTTCTGCAGGTGGGTATTGTAGTTGTAAGAATGCTTGATAGAGATCTTAAAAAGAAAAGGAGTACTTGTGGCACCTTAGAGACTAACCAATTTATTTGAGCATGAGCTTTCGTGAGCTAGCTGTAGCTCACGAAAGCTCATGCTCAAATAAATTGGTTAGTCTCTAAGGTGCCACAAGTACTCCTTTTCTTTTTGCGAATACAGACTAACACGGCTGTTCCTCTGAAACCTGTGATAGAGATCTTGTAGGTGTTTGTCTCTGTCTGAGGGGTTGGAGCAAATGCGGTTGTATCGCAGAGCTTGGCTGTAGACAATGGATCGTGTGGAGTGATCAGGATGAATGTTGGAGGCATGTAGGTAGGAATAGCGGTCAGTAGGTTTCCGGTATAGGGTGGTGTTTATGTGACCATCGTTTATTAGCACTGTAGTGTCCAGGAAGTGGATCTCTTGTGTGGACTGGCCCAGGCTGAGGTTGATGGTGGGATGGAAATTGTTGAAATCATGGTGGAATTCCTCAAGGGCTTCTTTTCCATGTGTCCAGATGATGAAGATGTCATCTATATAGCGCAAGTGTGTGCAGGAGAGTGGGGTGGGGGGAGGTATTTTTTCATGCTTTGTGTGTATAAAAAGATCTTCTGCACTTTCCACAGTATGCATCCCATGAAGTGAGCTGTAGCTCACGAAAGCTTATGCTCAAATAAATTGGTTAGTCTCTAAGGTGCCACAACTACTCCTTTCTTTATGTTGACACAGAAGCTGGTTGGGGGGGGGTTAGTTATGGGGTCTATAAGGTGCTTGCCGGGGCTTGATGATGAAGGGGGAAGGGTTAATTGGCTGGTTACCATATTTCTCACATGTTGATGCTGAAGTGGAGATAGCAAAGGCTATGGGATGGGATGGTTGCCAATGGTCTTATGTAGGTTGTTGAAACTCAGAAATTGGTGTGGGTGCCATGGAGAAGTTTATGAAACTCTCACAAGCCACATACACATAGAGACCATAGAAATCATAGAGAGACATTCTATAGATCACTCCATTTTAAGGAATTTCATTCAGGAGGATCTGGGCACACCCGTTTACAAGTGAGTCTATAAGGATTGATGAAGTTGCCTAAAGGCTGGGCCGAATATGGATAGGAGATAATTTGCCATTTGTGAAGTTTCTGTATCCTGTAGGTTGTTTTGTTTTATCTCCTTGACTTGCAAATTATCTTGACTGTTAGTACTGAAAAAGAGACATTTACGTAGATTACCACAGTCAATTCACTCCACCATAATACAATTGTCATGGTTTGTCACACGATTTTTTCATGATAAATTTATCAAAGGACTCTTGGATGTAAACAGGATGAGAAAATTTAATCAAGAGCAAGAGAAAAATATAGGTATGATTGCTTTCATGGTCTCAGGTGAGTATATGCTGTGTTGCAGGCATTAAAATATGACCTAAATGGTGTCACAGGTTAAATGTTGCAGTATATTAACATTTATTTCAGTGAGATATAAGGTTATCCTTTCCCATTGTTTCCACATTAATTAGTATTAATGCACATGCATTCAAATAAACTAGGTTAAATAACTGAGACAGAAACTCACAAAAATGAGGGTCTTCCGATTAAGTTGCTTTAGTGTCCTTAGTTCAATCCTTTATTAACATAGTCACAACAACATGATCCTTTATTAGACAGTTCTGTGACACTACAAAAATAATAAAGTTACCTTGCGCTTTGATAACACTTTCCATCAGTATATTACTAAGCGCTTTACAAAGGAGGTAAGCATTATTATCCCCATTTCGCAGATGGGGAAACTGAGACACGGAGAGGTGAAGTCACTTGCCTAAGGTCAGCAGGCCAGTGGGGGAGCCAGGAATAGTACCCATGTCTCCTGAGGCCTAGTCCAGTGCTCTATCTACTAGGCTGCACTACTGTGCTTTTCTGTAGTGCTTTCTATCTGAGAATCCAAAAGTACTTTACATTCTCTAATTAAGCCCCACAGCACTCCTGTCAGGTAGGGAACTGTTATCCCCATTTTACAGAAATGAGAAACAGGCATAGGGTAGTTTTGTGACTTGCCTATGGTGAATGTCTGTGGTAGATATAGGAACATAACCTAGGCCTCCTGGCATTAGTTACAAGGCCTTTCTTCATATCTTGGGTGGCTTTTGAAAATTGAATGTATTTCTGCAGTACAACTGGTGTAAATTACAATTTTAGCTTCCATATCTTTAGTGACATTGGATGCTTCCTTATACAGTGATTTTTTTTTTTAATTTATTTTTTTAGACATATGTATGGCAACATCATCCAGTATCTTTTTGGTTAATAATTCTGGCCAAAAGAGTATTATATTTTATTTCTGACATCGACATCAAACTGGGGCATAGTAGTGAAGCAGGCCTGATAATCATTGTATTTATTTTGGTAAATTTCTTTTAATAGATTTGTTCCTGTACTCCAGAGTTCATTGTAAACAAAGTGGTAGAATATTCAGTTTGTAAACAGTCAGTGACAGAAAACCTTGTTAATGTAACAAATACATAGGAATAGTGTGGGAGTTCAACTGTTCAGGCTGCAGGAGATCTATATCCATTTAGCACAACTTCCCATCAAGGGAAATAGGAAGCTCCTTGAGCTTGAACCCAGCCATGACATAATATATGCCATCTGTATCAACAATGTATGACAGGGTTAGAAGTAAAGGTAGTGAAGACTGTATTCTGCAGAAAATCAGTGACATTGTTTTATGATGATTTTATCACTTGACCACTTTGGAACCTGAGGATGATTCCGGAACCCCCAACCCAAACCATCTATGCAGTTCCCCTGTGGAATTGAGGTCCCACCTTTGATTGTACTCCAGGTTACTGTGAAACATGAAAATACACCTCCCCTATTCTGCCATTTTATGTTAGTCTACACTGGTGATAACATTCTGATGGCTCAAATAAGCATGCATCTAAGGTCTGAGCCTGTGAGTTATTGAGTGCTCTGAGTTACCACCTAAGGTAACTTTCCACAAGTACTCCTTTTCTTTTTGCGAATACAGACTAACACGGCTGTTACTCTGAAACCTTTCAGAGTAGCAGCCGTGTTAGTCTGTGTTCGCAAAAAGAAAAGGAGCACTTGTGGCACCTTAGAGACTAACCAATTTATTTGAGCATAAGCTTTCGTGAGCTAGAGCTCACTTCATCGGATGCATTCACCTAAGGCAATGGGAGACTTTGTCACTGGGTATCTTTCAGGATTAGTTCCCAAGAGAGTTTCCAAGCAATGACAAAGCTATAGAAAGAAGGAAAAGATTAAAAAGAGACTGATAACAGCACTGTAAACAATCACCCTTAAATACAGGTTTTTCTGTTAATACCTGTTAGGACTCAGCCAACAGGTATTTTCAGGTTTTGGCTGATGGTGGCATTAAACATGATGAGTTACTATACTTTTGTCAGCAATCTGGCTTTTGGTTAACATCAAAGTGATCTCC